CGATCCCAGGAATAAAGTAACACATCAGCAGGTCTGAGGGGCCCATCATTCCCTCCAGACAACCCTATGTCAACCTCCTTTCTTGCTGAAATCCCAGATCTGTAGCAGATATCAACAAGGGTATCTCGAACAACATTATGCCGATGTATAATACCCACAATACCAGCACACGACACCGCGTGATCGCCGAATATCCCCAGTAAAAACCCGAGAACAAGTAGAGCATGGCGTCGAGATAGAGAACAATGGAACACCCATCCTGTAGCACAACACACATCGGTAGGTCTTTGCGTTCATCGTCTGACCTAACCTAGAAATAGGGACTGCCCGAGCCAAGCAGAGGTGTGATCTCCCTGCTGCGATTTCCACAATGCTGATTGCCGAGGAGACAAAGAATAGGCGGATTCTGCAGAAGCGGTAACCTTTGTGAAATATATATCTGCCAATTTCTTCATGAGTTTAGGGGCAGCGATCTCACTAGGATTACTCATAATGTCAGACTCCACTATTCCATTAAACAGACTCAATGCATCTTCAAAGGCTCGTCCAAGACCAATAATGCCAGCATGTCGTAAAAGCTGTGTTTGCAACCCAGCAGACTGTAACCGAAAAGCAAGAAAAGCATAATGTTGAACATCACCTGCGGAATATACCCCAAGCCCTCCAAACGCAAATGGTAAGGTAGCAAGCCTCCATTGCCAATCGCCAAACCCGGGCCCCAAAGCAGTAAGAATACACTCCAAGGAAGATCGAAGAGCCACGTCGAATGTACGCTGAGCCGCCTCAAAAGTACTAGGGGGACAAGTACGCAATGCAAAGTAGAGTTTAGAAACTCCGGTACAAGCCTTAAGTAACAGTAGCTCACACTGAGGATCATCAAGCATGACAACCTTTTCCATAAGCGCAATGGTCTTGGTCACCCTCTACATCACAAGCTCACCACTAAAACCGGAATCGGAACTAGCAGGACCACCAAGCAACTTAACACCACGCAAAGGTCGAGCAATATTAGGTGTAAAAACACCCATAAGCTTGCTTCGAGGGTCTTCTGTAGGCCAGAAAACTTCAGTCTTTTCCACGTTAAGATGTAACCCAAAACGAGGCCCTTCCTCCATAATCAACTGTAGAACCTTCCCCACCACCATCGTGTCACCAATAACAGTGCCGTCATCCAAATACCAGGCCTGAAGACATACATCAAAATTGTCCTGATTTTACACATCAAGGGTTGTAATACTAAAGCAAAAAGAAGAGGACCAAGGGGATCACCCTGCTGCACCCCCTGAGAGGACCATAAGGTGTGGTCCCCATAATACAATCTAGCTGGATTAAAATAGCAGAATTCAACCCATCACGAAAGGCCCGGACAACGAAGACGAACTTCACGTAACATGACCGCACGATCAACTAGATTGAAGGCGTTTTGAAAATCCACTAATAACATAGAAAGACCAACATTGGAACCACGATCCTCAATCAACCGATTTACAGCATGAAGAATCGCCTCACCTCTCGAAGAAACCCCAACACCAAATTGGAGACCATTAAAGTAACTTCCTAAAGACTGGCCAACCATAACAGCACCGACCTTCAAAACCAGACGCCGCCAAACAGTATCCACATCTATAGGATGAATACCACCACCAGGCTTGACCAGTGGTGTAAGAGGAGCACTAGCAATATACTCTCCTAGTTCCAGAGGACACTTTCCAGCTAGAAAGAGATTAACCACCCTGGAAATAGAGTCAACTAACTCCTCTGATACCACCACAGCAGCACCACTCAAACAATCCATAAGGTGTTGAGCACGTAAACCGTCCCTACCACAAGATGTGCCACGTGGAAAACTCTTAATCCGATCCAAAACAACATCAGAAGTAGTAACGAGATGAAGGCCATCAACAGGTATATCAGGCAAGGATGGAGCTGGAGAAGTAGGGTGTTTAGACTGTAAATCCGCGAGAGTGGCGTCATTATAAGGAGCTGCGCCTGAAGAAGAAAGAACCCGGACTGCAGCGGTGTAATGACCATCACATATTTTCCTACGACACTACTTAATATTACGCTCTTCCAAATCAAGGTCCTTATCATCAACGACCGTTAAAGTAGGAGAATCCTCTGCCAGAGTTTCCCTCACAAGCTGCAAACTACCACCGGGTGCACTCCAAGAACAAATAGCACTGGAAATACTCTCTTCCTGATGCCTACGCTTCACTGAAGACTGAGACTCACGACTACTCCGCGGGCGAAAGGTTTTAAGGGTGCAAAGAGGTAACACCAACAAAGAGACCCAATTAGAAATGTCATCAGGCTTAGAGATCACCTTATCAAGAGCACCTTTCAGAACCCGAGAAAACCCCAATCGACACTTGGGAGGGATAGACTTCACAGTGCGAAACCCCCTAGAGAACAAACCATAAAGAAGTGCCACATCAAAACCACAATGTTGATCTTGCGCCATACCACCCATGCGCCCAAGCCGAGGTGGAGAAGATGGAGCTTGTGGCTTGGAGAAACCATAAAGCACAAAACGAACAATACCATCACCTTCATTCGGGGGGGACACAATCTCACCCGTACTATGACGACACTTAGTACGAAGCGTATGCGTCTTGTAGCAAACACCACATAACCAAATCCCCATACGCGTAAAAGTAACTTCCGCTTCATTATAAACACCCAAATTAGAAGTAAGAGAATGTCGGGTGATATCCCGCGCACCAATACAACAATGACGATCACAAAGATGTTTGATCAAAGAACTTCTAGCAAGGCCATTTCCACTCCCATCTTATTATTATTATTATTATTGTTATTATTATTATTATTATTAAGAAGAAGAAGAAAACAAATTAAAACAAAGCATTACAACGTGGAGCAAATTAAACTTAACAAGTCTCACTTAACATATTATATATAGCCAAAGTCTTATCGCTTTTATGACTCATACAACCACTAATTGTAGTAGAAAGCTTGATATAATAAAATTACAATTTATATCTAGCTGTCTAAACAATGATTCTGGACTGAATATACTAGCAATGATTAGTACGAGCCTAAAATTTTCTTCTTTTTTCTACATATAATGGAGTAGAAACTAAAAAGAATAAAAAATATTAAAATAAAGACTATTAAATTTGTCAACTATATATTCTTTCAGGGGTAAATCTTCTAACAAAATCTTGTCCATATTATATTATTATATTAAGTTTCTATTTATAACAAGTATGTAGTATTAAAATTAATTAATTCAACGTTTCTTTATCCGTTTTGTTTCGTTTCGTTTCGTTTTTCATTTTTTTTTAGAGTTTAAGGTTTAACTGATAATCTACTAGCTAGTGCGCGACCATAGGGGAAAACGAGGTCTGGACGCCTAGACATGTGCCCTACCTTGCATGGCACGAATATCTTAATCATAATCAATGGTAATTAATTAATCAATTAATTAGAAGATTAGTTCTCCAACAAAAAAAAAAAAAAAAAAAACCTAGTTGAAGATAATTGTATGGATCACCCTTGACCCTCCTATGTGACATAGAGAAATAATAATGGTGAGAAAATGAGATCACTTTGATACATATTTCCATATATGGTTGTATGGTATATACACGTATGTTAGCTTAGCATACAAATTAAAATAACGTTGTTTTTTTTTTCTTTTTTTTTTTTTAATTTATATATATATATATATATATATATATATATATATATATATATATATATATATATATATAAGAGAGTTATCGTAAACTCATACGAGTATTAGAAATAAAAAAAAGACATAATGTAGTTTTTTTTTTATTGAACATCTAGCTAGCTCTTTTATAGCAATGTTGCCAATGTTTTTATTTTTTGACATCACATTCAACAATATACTAATCATAAAACAGATTACACACTACAAAGTTAGGGGAGGGATCATACAATTTATTGGAAAACCAGATGTTTTCGGAGGAGCAGGACGTTCTTCTTTTAGAGTCACTCATCCTGAAAAACAAGGAGTTATTAGTAACAACCGAGGGAGTTTTACTGCTCATTAAATCAGTGTTTCTTCTAGCTCTGGAACGTCGGAAGGAGGAATGGGGCCAATGTAAAGCACAAGCAATAATCAATATCCTATTTTCGCATTGAAATTGACCTTTTATATAACTGTACTTTAACAAACTTTACCAATGTAGCCATAATTGTTTTTTCTGTAATGAGGTCCTTATTGATGAAAAATGAAAGTTCAATTCTCTAATGAGCTTATTGAACGTTCATATTCATAAAGTAAATTATAATCAAGAAAAAAAAATCTAACGCTCAAGAAAAAATCTTATTATAATGTAAAGAACATCTTAAACCCAAGAAGAAAAATACTATTTGGGAAAAAAAAAAAAAAAGTCTCAAACAATATTTGAAACCAATTTTGCACTCACTTCTTCCATAAGCTGATCAGCGCTGACATTTATAATTGTATATTTGTATATTTTAAATTATAATGTAAACAATTTTCTGTTAGTTTAATTTATACTTAAATTAGTATACATTCAGAACTCAATATATATTAAATTTCATATACTACGTTTATTATATTTATAGTCATAGTTTCATAGAAACTACATCTCATCTAAACGATAAGAACAGTAAGATAAATTAATTTTTTCTTAAAAAGTAAAAATAAATAATAAATAATGCATGGGCCAGTTAAAGAAATACACGAGCTTGAAGCACTTAGAAATCATATTATTAATTCAAATCCTTGTATTTATTCTAATTTAATCCAAATGATGAATAATGAACACAATAATACACGAGTCAATCATAGAAATTATTATCCCACTTAATTTCTTTCGACCTACTTGTCATATGATTCAAATAAATAATTACATGCATATAATTTATCAATGACATATATATAGTAGAACTCAACTAAACATTAATTATAGGTATACATAGAACTAAAAAAGATTAAAGGAATTAAATCAAAGAAATAAAAATCTTTATTGAAAATGTTAGCAATGTCTCCTTTATGCCCTACTAATTTAGGTTGGGATTATCCCTTAGAATTTGAGACAAACCAAGCTTTCAATAACTTCGATTTCGATGCTATGTTTCTTGCTAATTTTTCTTCTTCTCAAGCTCAAGATGATTGTGATGATAATCATCAAGTATCTAGTGATCATGCTAAGCGAAGCGAATCGCCACAAGGTACAAGCTCAACAGATCAAATTGATAATAATAATCCCTTGTTATCAAAGAAGCTTAATCATAATGCAAGTGAGAGAGATCGAAGAAAGAAGATCAATGACATGTATTCTTCTCTACGTGCTTTGCTCCCTGCAACTGATCAAAGGGTGAGTACCTAATTTCTTTATTTTCTAAATAAAATCAATGTACTTGTTTTATTTTATTATTTAAAAATCTTATTCTTGTCTTCTTCAACTTATAAAAAAACTTTGTACATATCTTTAATTAAAAGACTAAAAGTAAACTCACTAACTACTTATATAGTCTTATTATTAATAACAGTATATATAGGACATATACAATAATTTTTTTTTTTAATTTAATATAATACCTAACATAATTGATAACATTTTGAAAATCCTATTTAATACTATGTATTACGACCCTTATTATTTTTAGTTCTACTCTCCTAATATTCATTAGATTATATATACTTAAAACTTTAACTATCAATTGCTATTTATATACAAATAAAACTTGTTATGTGTAATCTTGTTAAAATAGTTTTAATGCAGGGAATCCGATTACTTCATAATAAAACTTATGTAATAATTAAAAATATAACTGGTCAAAAATGTATGTTAGAGGTCGCACAAATTGCAAGTGATGAGTAGAACAAAAAAGAATGAGATGAGTACGTAATTTACAAATGTTATGGTTTGTGGCAAAACCCTTTTTATTTTCTCGCGTTTGTTCATGATAATGCTTGCTAAATGTTATTCAACAACTTTATTTTCCATATCATAAGCACTTGCAAAATTAATAAATGGTTAATGCCCTTAACGGCTAATCTAATATTGTGAAAATAATATTTCTTTACAAATTAAACACTAATTTCTTCTAATTATGTTCTATTTTAATACAGAAAAAGCTAAGCATACCATCGACAATAGCACGAGTGCTTGAGTATATACCTCAATTACAAAAGCAAATTGAGGATCTAACTCATAAAAAGGAAGGGTTTACATCTAAAATGTCAGCAATTCTAGGAAATTCAGGAGAGTTTATCCAAGAACAAAAGCACAAAAGAAAATGCACAACTAAGGAGACGACGTCGTGTTCGATTTCTTCAAATAAATTGGGTGATAAAGAAATGGTGATCCAAATATCAACATATGAGAGAATATCAGTATCCGAGGTTCTTCTTCATCTTGAGAAGAATGGTTATGTTGTTATTGATGTTTCTTCTTTTCAATCTTTTGGAGGAACAACTTTCTACAATATACATTTGTGGGTAAGTTTTACGGGGGTTTTTTTTTTTTTGTTTTTTTTGTTTTGTTTTTTTTTTTTTTTTTTGAATCTCAGGCCATATAATAAAAGAAAAATGATTTTTGTCATGCTATATTACAAATTACTCGTAATTTTTTTAAAAAATTTGAAGGCGGGGTAAATGAAAATTTTAACCTAATCTCAAAAAATTTAGCAATCTTTCTCTATTTTAATTTAGGGGTCGGGGGAGCCCTAGGCTTTCACCTATCCTCTAAGTTCCTCCCTTAGCTTATACAACCAATTGTAACATTAAATTTGTCTTGTTAATGGGAAATCGCAATTTTCTTTTTATTTACTTTGTAATTTGGCTATCGTCTATTATATACAGAATACATGTAAGTATGTAACTCAAAAAAGGATAAAAAATGAGAACATATAAAAAATGTTAGTTGTCAATAAATAATTCAAAACTCCAAATACTATAAAAGGGATTTAAAGGAATAAGTATTTTTATTTTTTTTTATTTTTTTTATTATTAACCTCTCAAAAAATAAAAAATAAAAGCATCATGATGATTAACTGTATTATACACAAATACACAATATATATTATTGCATTTAAGTTATCTCTATAAATCAAGAGCCTTAAACTTTGTGCATTTTCGTGTTGCAGATGGAAGGAAGCTATGTTGTAAGCATTGAAAAGTTGAATGAAACGCTGTTATCTATGCTACAGAAGCAACAATTGCAGATGCAGATGGAAATAATACCTATATTCGTAGCGTAGTTGTTTATTCATTTCGAACGGTCGATCGATCTTTTGTAAATTGTAACAGGAAATTTATATCCTATAGAGCAATTATCTACTGGATATTATAGAGTTGCTTGAATTCCAATCATACATATAATTGATATAAACACATCACTTTAGATTTTAGAATTTTTATTCACCTGAAAATTAAGGTGATCTAGTTTGATTCTTTAATATGAATTTTTCTGGTTTAGTTTGATACTTTGATCTGATCACATGTATTAATATTGCCTTTGATAGATAATAGGTTACTATTATCTTGTTAATATTCTGTAAAGATATATCTAACTCTAATTTAGTAAATATTGTATTTTTCTCAAAAAAAAAAAGTAATTATTGTATTCTCGTAATTAGGTTTGTAATCACCTATATATATTTAGTTAATTAATGAGAATACTCCGACTAAGGAGAATTACACAATTCTACATGGTATCAAATTCCACCTAGGGTTTTCTTTTCTTTTCTCTCTTTTTCCAAACCCTACTCAATCTTTACTCTAGCCGTTTTCCACCAACAACCACCGTACATCACCTCCTTCAATCCGTACCATGGCCGGTGATGATGATGTACCCCCTCCTCCTCCTCCTCCCCCAAACATACCCACCTTCCATCCGGCTTTTGCCGTTTCAAACATCAAAAATCACGTGTGCGTCAGTCTTGATCATGAGGAGGGACAATACGCAACGTGCGTTGAACTCTTTCAAATTACGGCATGTGCTTTCAATGTTCTAGACCACATTGACTCTAAAGTAACTTGTCTGAAGGAGATCAATGATGCTACATGGAAGAGATTAGATGCTATTGTGAAACAACGGATCTATGGCACTATTTCCAAAGACCTCGTTCACACAATCATGAAACCGGGTGCCACGACTCTCAAATTATGGACCCAGCTTGAGGAGATATTTCATGATAACAAGTAAGCATACTAGGGCAGTGTATTTGGAGGAACATTTTGCAAAAACAAAACTTGAAAATTTTGTTAACATGACTGATTATTGTAAGCAAATTAAGCTTCTTGCGGATCAACTTGCTATTGTTGATTGCCCGATGTTCGATCGTAAGATGCTTATGAAACTCATTGCGGGCCTCACCAAGGGCGAATACGATACCGTGGCTGCCATTGTTTCTCAATCCAAACCAACTCCAAGCTTTAATAAAGCACGGTTAATGTTCATTTTGGAGGAAACTCATCGCCAAAATAAACAAGACGAATCCGACCAGCATGCTCTTATGGCCCAACACTCTCAAGCTCCAGCCTCGTCAACACAGCAGCATGGCGGTAGTGGTTGGGGTCGAGGCAAAGGCCGTGGCAGCAATTTCAAGGGAAAGGGTCGTGGGAAAGGTCACGGAAACAACAACAACAATAATCAGCAGCAATAAGCTACTGGGCCCAACAGCAATCAGGCCCAGCAGGCCCCTCTGTGGGGAAGTTAGCAAGGTTGGGCGCCCCAGCAGCAGGGTCAGTGGGCTTCTCCCTAATGCCCATTTCCACTAGCCCAGCTCCTCAGTTTGCATACCGTGGGCAGCAGCAATCAATCCTGGGCCCACGCCTAGACCAAAATCAGGCATACTACGCTGGACTGGCTCCACCCGGTTACGGCCTACCTATGTCCCCTACTGATTTGGGTCAAGCTTACAATTCGATGAGTCTTCAATCTCCCGACAACGGGTGGTATATGGATACGAGGGCGACCTCTCATATGACTCGAGATTTGGGTGACTTTTCTAAACTGTTTAATTTGAGCATTCCTCAATATATTTTTGTTGGTGATGGCAAACGTATTTTTGTCTATGTTTATGCACAACCACTACTCACTCACCTAATCCACCTTTCCACCTTAAGAATGTCTTATATGTTCTTAACATTATTAAAAACTTAATCTCTGTTAGAAAATTTGCTTGTGACAATTCTGTTTCTGTCGAGTTTGACCCTCTCGGTTTTTCTGTGAAGGACCTTCTTTCGGGGACAACTCTAGCTCGGTGCAATAGTGTGAGGGACCTCTATCCATTCTTAACTTCTTCCGCTCAAAATGGCATCTCTAGTTGCAATTTCTGCTTCTGTTTGGCATCATAAACTTGGGCACCCCGGCGAACCAGTTTTTAATCTTCTTAGAAACAAAAATTTAATTTGTTGTAATAAAAGAAATAGTTCTCATTTTTTCTATTCTTATCCATTGGGCAAACATGTACGACTTTCTTTCAAGTCATCTACTTCTGTTACTTTTACCTGTTTGACATTATTCATATGGATTTATGGACATCTCCTATTTCTAGCAAATTGGGTCACAAATACTATCTTGTGTTGCTTGATGATTTATCTCATTTTCTTAAGGTGTTTCCTATTAAATATAAATCTCAAGTCTATGATATTTTTGCTTAATTTCCGAGCATATATATATGTTAAAACTCAATTTGAAAGGGACGTCAAAACCTTTCAAAGTGACAATGGTTGTGAATTTGACAATTCCCCATTTCACAAATTTTGTGCAAATAATGGCATGGTTTTTCGCTTTTCTTGCCCGAACACTTCCTCTCAAAATGGCGAAGCCGAAAGAATTATACGCACAATAAATAACATGTCTCATACTTTCCTTTTCCGTGCCTCCTTCCCTCCCTCGTTTTGGGTCTATGCGATACATATGGTTGCTTACATTCTAAACATTCTTCCATCAACAACCATACAAAATCACACTCCAACCGAAATTCTTTTTCGTAAGTTTCCTAACTATGATCATCTTCGTATTTACAGTTGCCTATGCTACCCAAACTTAAGTGCCACGACACCCCATAAGCTTGCCCCTAGGTCTAAACCGTGTGTTTTCTTGGGATTTCTGTCCAATCATAGAGGTTATTTGTGCTATGATCTTTCTTCAAATAAAATAATTATTTCTCGTCATGTGATTTTTGTTGAAGACCACTTTCCTTTCTCTAATCTTCAGCAATTTAGGGAAAATGATTATGATATTTTGGAGACAAATAACACTTTTGATTTTTACCCCATGTTCTTGCAACATCAATCCCACACTGACCCACACACGCAACCCACACCTAACCTAGCAAGCCCAGCTCCGCAAAATAACCTGCCAAACTCACCTCTTACTTCCTGCAATACACAGTCCACACCTCAGGTGGGCCGCGACCAGACCCAACACACCGCAGCCCATCCGCGGACCCTTCCTGCCCACTCCTCTAACATCACCCAGCAGCCCAACTTCTCCCAATTCGATCCAATTCGGATCCCTGCTACCCCTACATTGGTCCACACTCCTCAATCATTGCACATTATCCAACTCACACACTCCATGACCACTCATGCCCAGAGTGGTGTTTTCAAGCCGAACCCCAAATATTAAGTTAATATTACGGTTCATGCTATTTCTCCTTTACCGAAAAGTCCGAAATTAGCCATGCTTGACCATAATTGGAATTGTGCCATGAATGAGGAATTTAATGCTCTAACTAAGCAGCATACTTGGGATCTTGTTCCCAGACCGAAACGGGTGAATATTATTCGTTATATGTGGTTGTTTAAACACAAGTACAGGGAAAATGGTGAATTGGAGAGACATAAGGCGAGACTTGTTGTCAATGGCAAGTCTCAACAAGTTGGTGTTGATTGTGATGAGACTTTTAGTCCTGTGGTGAAGCCGACAACTTTTCGTACTGTTTTGAGTATTGCTATGGGGGAGAGATTGGCCTATCCATCAGTTAGATGTCAAAAATGCGTTTCTTCGTGGTGATCTCAAAGAAACCGTATTTATGCATCAACCTCTGGGATTTGTGAATCCCAATGCTCCTACTCATGTTTTTCGTCTTCGCAAGTCTCTTTCTGGCCTTAAACAGGCCCCTCGGGCTTGGTATCAACGGTTTGCTACTTATCTCTTACTTGCATATTGGCTTTAATTTGTTTGGAGCAAAAGTGATAATTTCCTTTTTATTCTGCGCCACGGTGCAAATGTAGCATATTTATTACTCTATGTTGATGACATTGTTTTCACAGCTTCTTCCAAAAGACTCAAGTGTGATATTATTGCTCTTCTTAAGTCCGAATTCTTTATGTCTGACTTGGGAAAGCTAAGTTGTTTTTTGGGAATTTCCGTGAGCCATACCAAAAATTCTATGATTCTTGGTCAGAGTAAATATGTAGAGGAAATTATTCACAAGGCAAAGATGGATAATTGTAAACCGATTGCTACACCAGTAGATACTAAGTCAAAGCTTGGGGCTCCACGATGGTGAGCAAATGAAGGATCCCTTTCTTTACAGGAGCCTTGTCAGTGCACTCCAGTACCTGACTTTCACTAGACCTGACTGCTTATGCTGTTCATCAGGTTTGTTTATTCATGCATGCTCCTCGGGAACCTCATTTTAACGCTCTTAAGCGTATTATCAGATATATCAAAGGCACTTTGGATCATGGTCTACATTTATATCGTTCTTCTCCTTTGAGACTTATTTCATACACAGATGCAGATTGGTGCGGTTTCCCGGACACGCGGCGCTCCACTTCCGGGTAATTGTTTATTTGGGTGATAATCTTGTCTCTTGGTCTGAAAAATGACAGGCTACTGTGTCACGATCCAGTGCCAAAGCAGAATATAGAGGTGACGCTAATGTCGTTGCCGAAATTTGTTGGCTCCGGAATCTTCTCCTAGAGCTACATTGTCCTATTCAACGGGTTCCTTGGTCTATTGTGATAATATTTTTGCCGTATACTTGTCTTGCAATCCGGCTCAATATCATCGTACCAAACATCACATTGAGAAGGAAATTCATTTTATACGTGATAAGGTCGGTCTTGGTCATATCAAGGTACTCCATATGCTCCTTTTTCTTATCAGTATGCGGATATTTTCACAAAAGGTTTACCGCGACAACTACTTTTAGACTTCAGATCCAGTCCCAGCGTTCTACCTCCTCCCGCTTCGACTACGAGGGTGTGATAGATAATAGGTTACTATTATCTTGTTAATATTCTGTAAAGATATATCTAAGTGTAATTTAGTAAATATTGTATTCTTGTAATTGGGTTTGTAATCACCAATATATATTTAGTTAATGAGAATACTCCAACTAAGGAGAATTACACAATTCTACTGCCTTAGTTAAAAGTTCATCCGCTAATGTAAATCTACAAAATAGTTATCCTTTAATTTAATTAAGAGGTCTTTAATTTTAGTTGATCTTTACATTAGTGAGGCACGTGCTAGTGTAGTCCTTTCGTACTGCATGGCACAAGCTCTTACATTACCATTAAAATAGTAAATATTATTGGTAATATATTCCATTGTTTTTGGAAATGAAGTTGTAAACTACACTATATGCACCCTAATAAAGAATCATGTTGAGGTCATAGGTATCAAAGAGAATCTCTTCTACATTTATAATTTGCATTGACAAGCTAAGTTGACAATTGCATTAATAATTTTTAAAAATATCCTTAAATAATGTAGTATGAAAAATATTATTAAATTTAGCTTTAGAAACATTTTAACACATATACTCCTTCCATTACATTAACGCCTTCCTTATTGGTAGCAACAAGTTTTGAAGAAAATAAGGTGATGAAAGAACTAAAAAGTGAGCTGTTAGTTTCATCAACTTTAGGATATGTACTGTTAGGATTCAGAATTGTCGAATTTTTTCCGTTCATTTTTTATTTTATCTATTAAATGCTCAAACTCAATTACTTCACAAATTCTTCAAAATGGCGGATGTACGTTAATTTATTGTAAAACGGGTTAAAGTTATGTTAAAAGTACTTAAAGTTCCTCTTTGTATTGCTAAAGTTATTATTATTTCTATTAATAAATTTTATCTTACAAAAAACTTTTAATGTATTAAATTAATCATATTAATCTTTATATTATGTAATCACGTATCTATAAGAAATTACACATTAAAATAAAATTCAAAACAACGACAAATTAAAAGTTACCTTTTAAGTGGTTAAAGTTACCATATAAATAGTTAAGGTTACGCTCAAACCGACCGTTTTACAATAAAATTAATGTACACCCGTTGTACACAAGACTTATTACAATTACTTAAGTTTGTGTAGGTCGGGTAGAATTAGCCAAATTTTGAAAATTTAGATATCGTCTGTCCAGTCATATATTTTGATTTATTTACATTTTTTGTCATCATTATTAGTTTCAATAGAACTTATTTGCTGATCATTAATCAATTACGCTTATTGTTAATTAGGAATTATAAAATGCGTATAATTTGCAATATCAAAAGATTAAAATTTAAATAATATATTTTAGAATGACCTATTTCTTAATTAAAATAAAGTAGATTCCATTTTATCACCATGAGCTGATAAAATGATATTCCATTTTGGTATGTTTGCTTCAAAAATCATGTTAAGTTAAATT